GTTTGGTTTCTCACGGATGACTAGCTCTGCGGTTAGTGTGGTGTTCCTGGGCTTCACAAGCATGTGTGTGAAGAAGACTGGTTACTCTGGAATCACTGTGTTCTCCATGATGCTGTTTTTCATTTGGTCTGAGGGAATGTCTCTCATGAAAAACCCATGGCTCATGCTTCTTTTTGAGACTATTTCCTACACCGCTTATGTAACTGGTTTTACAGGCGTGATCAGTTACTTTGGTGAAGTAACACCCAATCATCTGATGGACACAGTGCAAGGTGAGAACAAAAGAGGATTCCCTCTCGTTACCAGGTCCCCATGGTCTTGTTCAGAAAGGGGAGCAGGGGCTTGTAAACGAATAAGTTAAAACCCCAGAGACTTTGTCTTTACACTCTTTTTTCTGCGAAAAAAGAAAGCCAAATTTCATACTTTGTTGGCGACGATTGTTCCCCTCTCTGTTCCCCCTGAAAATCCCAGAAACCTTTGTTACCCCGACGAGCTTCGCGCCGGAAAAAAATGTTATACAAATTAGCCGGCTAATAAATAATGTTTGGCCCTACGCAGTTTATTTTTGAACTGACACTAATAGCATTTCTTTATCTTCGTAGGAGGGGTTAACTCTTTGTTTCTCGGCGTGGGTTTCGGCGTTGGAACTGCCTTGTGCGGCTTTTTCATCGATGCATTTGGCGCCGTAGAGGCATTCCGGCTGTTTGCTTTGGGTGAAGCTGTACTATTAGTGCTGTTTGTCGTCAACCAAGTTATATATTTTTGCCTCAAGAAGAACGAAAAAGAAGAAAAAACAAAACTGCTGGAATGACTTTTTATGCAGGTCACAGGACTTACAGTAAACACTATGTCATCTAAAATAAAATTGGTGGATCTCGCTGTCGCACTTCTTTAATTTCACTCAAAAAAAAGGAAACACTCGGTGAAAAATATGCGTTCTGAGGTACATCGTTTCGAGGGAGAAGACCGATAGTTTTGGGGCTAAACTAAAGACCACCGGGCCTCTTCTAACCATCCACCAAACATGCTACGTGGAAACCAGGATTAACTCCGGCCTGGTGGGCCAACAGGCTCGAGTACAGACTTTACTTGATGGCATATTGTAAGTTAAATCACGAATGGTGAACTTGGAACCCACTTATTTTTCAATTTTTTATTTTGACTGGATTATCACTTAAACTCATCATTTAATTTAACTCCTATTAAATTATATCTTTGAACAATATTAACAACCTGCTGAGATGTGGAAAATATCAAAAAGTAGCTATACAGGAGGTACTTAGTGATATACGTGTATCTTTTAAAAGTAAGTAATAACGAATGGATTCATTAAATAATGCATAATTTAACAAACAGTGAAATTCCATGGTTTTTTTTTCAATTCTATTTTTCCAAAAATTATGAACTTCACAGACAACACTGAGTAGTAAAAGTCTTAACGATCTCATCAGCAATTCTTCTTACTGTCTGCCATACAGTTCTTGTGATGTTAGTTTGGAGAATTTGGTATTGGATCAAACTAACAATTCCCTAATGAAAATTTTTCTTTATTCTCATCACTTGTCTGCTTGATATTGTATTAATATCCGAGGAGAAATTCTGTCTTGGTCACTTATGAGAGTTAACGGGTTAACTCGCATTTCTTTTTCTTATCTGGTTAAGGTGGAATTTTCCCCTCCCCTTACCTCCCACCCTAAATACAACATTGAGTTTTCTCTAACTTTTCAATTGAAATAAACTGTTTGGGGTAAAAGAAGTTTTAAAAATAAGTGAGGAATAAAAAATTAAAGGATCTTATAGAGCCTTAATTTCTTATGTGTCAGCACTTAAAATTTGCTGCTCACCATTGGAAAAAGCTCATTATGCTTAAATTTTTACCAGGGCTGCCTTCAGAAAACTATCTGCATTACTTCTTTTTTTCTCAATTGGAAATTAAATTAAAAAATTATTCTCTCTTACACAGTTATCAAGGGCATATCCAGCTTTTCAGGGACAGGGACAGCGAGGAGAAAAGTGAAGGGGCCCCTTCTCTAGCACATAACAATCACTTGCCTACCCTTACCTGATTATACAACAAAATTATTCATTTTCTGCTGGCCAATCAAATTGTCATTGCTAAGATAACAATTCGCCTCAATGAATATATCATATCCTTCATGTATATCTACTTCTGTGCATACCTTGTGCGGAAGCTGAATGGTACAACACCGAATTCCATGCATCACAACTAGCAGGGATGCTACCTTACTCCAATTGTCTTTCTCAGGGTCATAGCACTCTATTTCCAAAGTGCAAAATGCATTCCTGTTACATCCCCCAACAAAGTAGATTTTGTCACTCTCTACAGCTATCCCACCATCCCATCTGGCAGTGCTAGCAGGTTCAATCATGGACCACCGGTCTATATCAGGGTCATACACCTCACCACTGTTTAGATGAACAGAACCATCCCAGCCATCTTAAAAAAAATTGAAATGAAATCACATTGAATTGCATGAATTTTTAAATGACATCTCACAATACTTTAATCCTAACCCCTCACATCCTAACACCAGTATGCAAGTTTTGCACACCATTTTTATACATTTCCTGTGGTACTTATGGGGAGAACTTGTCTAACAATCAAGAGCTTCCTGAGTTTGTGATCATTTCCTTCATTCTTATAACCTTACCATTCGATTTATGGGTAATACTATTGGAGAAATTAGATTCCTATTACTCTAAGGGATTAAATGGGTTAACAGCTGACCAAGAGCTGCACATGCAGACACTAAGTAAACATAGCTTACCAATGACATAGATCTTCTCGCTTGCTTGTAATGTATAAGGGCAATTGCCCTCCATCAGTGCTTTCAATAAGACCTGGCACCTGTTGGAGCACCAATGGGTATTCTGTTGTGAATCGTCAAGTATACTTTAGAGACTTTCGAGGAAACTCACAAAGTGTGATCTTAAACACCTAAAGATCTTCTTTCCTTATAAACAAGTTTTGATTAAAAATGATTTATATTTTCTTTTCATCTATTCCAGCATACATTTCATACATTTCCAGCAAAAAAGAGCATGAGTTTCTAAGAACATACTAACTCAAATTTCTGTAACCAGTAACCATATGTCCTTACAGAGGATTTTTTGCTTGAAAATCAGGGAGCAGGCTTGCATGGCAGCATATGGAAGATTTTGATCAGAAATAAAACAATCTGGTAACCAATTATTACAAAGGAGAGGAATATTTAATAATCATCTACGGAAGTTGAACCCCGAAAACTTTGTTTGAAGCCAGTTTATTCTAAATGGCAGTAATGGAATAACAAGAGGAAAATTGTTTCATACATTATTCTCCAGCAGGTGCTTTACCAAGGTAGCCACCTTCTTCAAATCTTATTGAAAGCACTGTTCCATGTTCTTGGGGGGTCAAGATACTCTCTAGTGTTAAGCAACATTCCAACATAGCTCACTCCACCAATCACATACAGCACACAGCAACTTGACACACACAGACTGCTGCAACAAGTGGTCCTGGGTGCTGTAAATGACCAAGTGTTTGTTGATGGGTAGTAATGTTCCACACTGTTGAGTTAGAAGTTACTCTCATCACAGCCACCCACAGCATACATATTTCCTAATGTGAAGAGGAAAATTAAAGGTGAAAACTACAACCACATGCAAATGTACATTTGTCTTTATGGGTCAAAACCTTTTGTTTGCTGTTTAATAAAGATGAGGGAATTGGATTTGAAAAGTTTAAAAGTAATTTTTACAAAGTTCAGACTATAAATTATGTCTAACACTCCACAAAAAGATGGAATTAAAAAAAATGCTGCATTTTTTTAATGTAACTTTTCCCTTTTCTCTTCCACAAGTAACAGCCTTGGTAACAAGGTTAGTTGGTTTGAACTTTGAACTTATGCAACAAGTCGCAGTAATGAAAATAATCCAGTTTTCACACTACCCTATGTATGTCCTCTGACTGATAGCCAACCCCTCTTTGACTAGCATCTAATTTCTCCTTACAAAGTCACCCTTGAATCACACAATAAGGTCACAAGGATAAAGGAAATGATCACCAACTAACTAAGGAAGCTCTTGATTGGTAAACAAATTCTCCAAGCCAACACCTTAAGGAATGTATGGAAAATAGTATAGAGAATATGCATACTAATGTTAAGGTGTAAAGATTGAATATAAAACGAACACCTGTGTACTGTTGCTTCGTATTTAATCCTTTAAACCCTATGAGTGACTAACATCCAATTTCTCCCTACAAAATTACTCCTGAATCACACACTAAGGTCATGTGAAGAATGAAAATGGTCACCAGGGAGGCACCTCTTGGTTGGAAAACAAATTCTCCTTGTCAGCACCGTAAGAAATGTATAGAGAGCAGTATGGAGAATATGCATACTGATGTTAGGGTGTAAAGGGTTAACTGGGCATAATGCGCCTCATGTTAAAAAGAAATTAAGCTTAAATTTGAGACTTCCGACTCATTCGTCCATCTTCTTTCAACGTTCCCTTGACTCACATATACCACTTGAATTATCATGTTACAAATTGAAAAAAAAGAACAGTAAAATAGATAATTTCTGCAAAAAAAATTCCCAAAAAAACTTACAATCGGTGAAGCTCGTGATGCCAGCTAGTGTAGCGATAGGCACGCTTGTATCCATGCTATCAAGACAAAGCCTTCAACATAAAACAAAAGCTTGCCACACAAGGCGTAGAAATAACCAAAGAACCTTTTGAATGACTTTTAACCCATCACGGAAAGAAGGAAGTTGAGAAGTTGTAAAAATTCTCACCAACAGCCATGATAAATTTAACGACAATAGCGGGAATACTCAACACTCCATTCAAACGCGCGCCAAATCACCGCAGCCGCCACGCATCCAGGTTGTCCTAAATGACTAACTCTATTATTGTGGTATATGCCTCACCAAGCGTCATGTAAGAAAGGTTTTGAACCAATGACTGTTCATTTTCAAGGCCTTTGACGGTTGACAGTTAAATTTCAGGGCCTTAGACGGTTGACATTTACTAGAAAGATATATTTCTATGAGTTAAAATTAACATTTAGCTTTTCTGTTTTTTTTTAATTTTATTTTTAAGAGCAATAAATGTTATGTTAGTATCTTGCGCACATATGCGATTCTCTTTCATCGGCTGGTTATGTTAGTAACACGCACACCCTAGGATTCTCTTAGTCTCGTACCCAGAACATCCGTTCTGGGTACGCAGAGGTGGTAAAATTTCAGTTGCACAGTATGATCAGGGTATGAGATAAGGATTTTCTTTCATTGGATTATCACGTAATATCTATTCTCTTTTATGGAATTGTTGTGTTAGTATCTCGTGCATCTTATACTCCTTCGTTTGAAAGTGACGAAATTATCACGCATATTTTAGGATAGGGTGATATTCCATTGTTACTTTGGTATCTCGTGCACTTTTGGGATTCTCTTTCCTTCGAAAGTTATGTTATTATCTCTCATTCAAAAGTTATGTTATTATCACGCGCATTTTAGGACTGTCTTTCATTGGATTGTTACGTTAGTACCACGCACATTTTAGGACTATCTTTCACTAGATTGTTAAGTTAGTGTCTCGTGCAATTCTAGGATTTTTTTCATTTCATTGTTACGTTAGTTTCTGCACACTTTTGGAATTCACTTTCATTTGATTGTTACGTTAGTGTCTCGTGCAATTCTAGGATTTTTTCCATTTCATTGTTACGTTAGTTTCTCGCACACTTTTGGAATTCACTTTCATTGGATTGTTACGTTAGTGTCTCGCGCACTCTAGAATTTTTTTCATTCGATTGTTCCGTGTGTATTTCGTGCACTTCTTAAGATTCTCTTTAATTTGATTGTTACTTTACGGTTACTTAAGCTGTCGTTTTACGACACTGAGTCAAAACCGCTCCACCCACGGGGTAAATGAACTTAAGAATTCTTTCTATTAACACAAGAATCTAGAGAGTGCGAATGAGACAGCCAATTATGAAAAGAGATTTACGGT